TTGAAAAGTGTTTCTCTTACCTAATCCATTTTGAACCAAGAAGATGTGCTCATGAGTTAACTGGGTGGGACTGGATGTGCATGACCTGGGACAGAACAATCCCACTAACTTGTTAAACTCTATTCTTCAATCCCACATGGAAACAATGTGCGTCTCCCAACAAGAGAGCACAAGACAAGGACCATGCCTTTAGGCATCACTCTTGACCCTCACTTCTCTCCATCCATTTGTTCATCATCAACAGCAGAATCTCAGAGGCTACAATTGGAACAGGAGTGTCAAAGGGACTTCCTCCTGTAGTGGTACTGGTGGACTGATGTGGACAATGCAGACCTCCTCGGATGAAGGCTGTTAGCAGAAAAAGGCAACTTTGAGGCATGAGTCATAACTTTCAGGTTCTGAAGGGAGTTTGAGCAGTAGCTCTGTGTATTTGACCTGACAGGACCGGCAGAAATGGCTCCTAGGTTGCTGGAAGTCATATGGGCTACAGCCAGTGCCCAAGCTTCCTCACAAGAGTAGTCCAGTTTCAGAGTAGTAAATTGTCAACAGATGTGCACACTCAATTGCACTGTCAAGGTTTTGGCCTCAGGGTCAGCTGAGCAGCTTAGTAAATAGGCAGAAAAGAGACTTTCTGAGGCGGTCAGGGTAAGAAAGTAGGGACATGGGGCATAAAACCTGGGTCAGAGGTCAGAGAGGGCCCATGCAGGATACAAGACACAAGTAGTCCTGCAGGGTTGTAAATTCTTGTGTTTCTCACAGAGGACCTTTCCAGACTTCAGATCTTGTCTGCACCACCTGTCCAGCTGGCCCTGTCACCTGAGCTTCTAATACTGGGCCTGACCTTGAAATAGGGCAGTCTCCTCCAGAAGAATGTGGTCTCAGCCCTGGAAACTAGGCAAGGGTGCCTTTCACATGCAACTTAAAGGAACTTATGCAAAATGAAAATACTCATGGAAGAATCCAAATTGAGAAAGGGACTAATCAAACTACAATTCACACAAGTAAGGTTAAATCCAGCTGGTGGATTAAGTGCCAGAAACCTTAGAGAAAAAACCCATGTATGACCACTTAGTTCAGAGCAGCAGAGCCTGGAGCCAAGTACACAGCAGGCACCATTGGCAGGGACCAGATCTCAATCCTACTAGTTCCTCTGGAACTGAGAGACCACACAGAGCCACAATTTCCTCTTGACATGACATTCTGGCCTTCATCTGGCTTTTGCCAAGTAAAGCAGGGTGATGTCAGGGTGGTACCTAACAAGAGTGGTCAGGCTCACTAGAGAAAAGTCTTCCACGACCACATTCACACACATGCATGCACACACATATATACTCCTTAGCACCAGGAGTAGGAAACACTACTGCTAGGCCCCTTTGGGCTTCGCTCTTCTGCTCCCCATTAGAGACTACTGGGTTTTTTCATTCTCCATGACCATTCTCCCTTGGTAATGGCGCGCCAACAAGAAAATTAGCCAGGTATGTGTAAATATTCAGAAGATCAGAAAAAAGGAGCCTGTCTGGGGAATCAGAGTTAATTGCCCTCTGTTAGCAACAAAGAAAAGAAAAATACTTTAAAAGCTCCTAATTTATATTCTTAACAGGATTTGAGAGAATATTATATTTATGACACAAAACTAGGCAGTAATGAAAACAGAGCAATCTGAGATGAGGAGAGATTGAATAGAGATGAAAAACATGATCACCCAATTAAAAAACGGAATGGAAGCAATGAACAGAAGATGGTAAACCACAAAAAAATGAAATCAGTTTATTATAAGATAAATTTGAGAATTTCTCCCACATCTCATAAGGAAATGAAAAAGAGGATTCTTTTATATTAATAAAATGTATAATCAATCCACAGTAAAACTTTATGTGCCAAATAATGTAGCGTGAATAAATTAAATAAAACCTGCTAGAAATGTAAGAAATTTTAATAAAGCTACAGCCATCACGGAAGATTTTAATATACCTCTGTTAGTCTCTGACATATCACCTAGGTTAAAGATAAATAAGAATTTGGGTAGCTTGAATAATATGACAGACTGAATCCAAAGGAAGTAGAAGAAAGATACCTTTAAAGATAAAGGCAGAGATGACTAGAAAGAGAAAACCAAAAGACAATAGCAATTTTCAAAAAAAAAAAAGCTGGTTCTTTGAATTTGAAAAATAACTAATAAACTAGATAAACCTGGCAGGGCTGATCAAGAAATAAAGAAGCCTTGTGCCTTTCTTTTTTTTATTTTTTTATTTTTTTAATTTTTTTTGAGTTGGAGTCCCAGACTGGAGTGCAGTGACCGCTCCCGGCCACCGCAGCATCGACCTGCTGGACTCCAGCAATCCTTCCACCTCAACCTTCCAAGTAGCTGGAACTACAGGTGCACGCTACCACACCCGGCTAATTTTTGATTTATTGTAGAGATGAGGTCTTGCCAAGTTGCCCAGGCGTGTCTCGAACCCGCGGGCTCAGGCAATCCACTCACCTCAGCCTCCCAAAGCGTGGGATTACAGGCTGAGCCACCGAGCCCGGCAAGCCTTGTGCCTTTCTGAAGAGAACAAAATAAAAGAAGAGAAATAAAGAAGCCACAAATGTATACTATTAGAAATGAAAAAGGGGACATAATCATTGATATAGTAGAGATTATGGAAATAAGAAAATATTCGGGAACAATTAAAAGCCAAGAAATCTGAAAGCTCAAATGAAATGGAAGTTTTGACCAAAAAAAGTACTAATATAACAATATGAAAATCTGAAAAAACCAGTAACTATTAAAAATACAGGATTCCCACATGACCCCTCTAAAAAGTCCTGGACCTATACTGTTTTATAGGTAAGCTTTAACAAAACTGCAAGAAACAATTCATCCCTGCAATAATTATACTGTTTCAGAAAAGAGGAAAATAAAGATCTATCCCCCAACTCATTTTTTTTAATGAAGCAAGTAGAAACATTGATATCAAAGAGTACAATGGTGGTTACCAGAAGCTGGGGCTGGGGGAGGAAGGGAAGATGATGGTCAAAGTATACAAATCCTCAGGTGGACAAAAGGAATAACTATACTGAACTATACTGTACAGCATGGTAAATAATGATATATTGTACAATTCAGAATCACTGGGAGAGTACATTTCAAATGTTCTCACCACCAAATAAATGAAATAATTATTTGAGGTGATGTTTATGTTAGTAAGCTTGATTTAATTATTCCACATTGTATTCATAAATTATAAGATTCTGTTGTACCCATAAATATATGCAACTATAATTTGTCAACTTATAATTAAAAATAAAAATTTTAAAAGAGCAGAAACCAGAAGCTGTTATGGTCATAGATCTAGAAATTCAAGATACACTATGAGATTGAATCTAGCTGTCTATTAAAACAAAGATGGCCAAGTAGGCTTGATTCCGGGAATGTGAGGATATAGCAAAATTAGAAAAGTATGTAGCATTATTGGATAGGCAAACCATGTGAAATTGCTGCTTGTGTAGGTCAAGCAGGTCAAATATTGGAAATTTCATGTGACTCAACCTAATATCCTATAAATAGAAGAGAAAACTACATCTTGCTAATATGCCCCAAAGTATCACATAATGAAATTCAGTACTTACTCATGATTTTTAAAAATATCTCATAAAACTATGAATATAACTTTCTTTTTTTAATTTTTTTTTCTTAAATTTGAGAGATGTGGGGTACAGTTCAGGATTAGGTATACAAGTGGTCATCATACAGGTAAAGCTTGGGCCTCTCTTTGGTCTCCACTTCACCTGATTTGAGACCAGGTACCCTTACTGATGTTGTTTATCCCCAAAACTTTCTTAATATGATAAAAGATTTCTACCAAGCACCTACAGCAAGCATTATACTTGATGGCAAAACTTCCTAAGGATTTCCAGTAAAGTCAAGACCAAGACCAAAATCGTTCTACTCTCAGCAGTAGGATTCAGCATTATACTAAAGATCCAAGCCATTACAGTTACACCAAAAAAAGAAAAAAAGGCTATGAAATTTAGAAAAGAATATAGAAAATTATCTCTTTTGTTTCAGAAATACAAAATAATCAATTAATAAACTATCAGATACAATAAGACAGTTCAGCAAAACTGCTGTGCCCATAACCAATTAAAACATGTGATCGGGGGAGGGATATCTTTTGTAATAGAAATAAAAACTATAAGACATATAGAAATAAGTCCCCAAAATGTGCATAATGAAAAAATGATAAAACTTTATTTTGAAGGTGATATAACTAAAATATTTTGAAGGTGATATAACTAAAATAGATTTCTAATGCGCGCCTGTAGTTTCAGCTACTTGGAAAGCTGAGGCAGAAGAATCGCTGGAGCCCAGCAAGGTCAACGCTGGGTTGGCCATGAGTGTGCTACTGCACTCCAGCCTGAGTGACAAAGTGAGACTCCAACTCAAATACATAAACAAATAAATAAATAAATAGAATACAGAGAGATTTCATGCTTATGAATGAACAGAGGATTTGAACAGGAAATTCACAGATGAAAGCAGAATTGTTGATAAATGTACAAAAAGTTGCTCAATTTCAGTGGTAATCAAGAAAATGCAAATTAAAATGACATGCCATTTCACACCCATCAAATTGGAAAAAAATCATAATGCCTGAAAATACAAGTGTCAGCAAGGATATAAAGCGATGGAAACTATCATATTCTGCCAGTGAGAGAGAAAATTGATATTCCCCTTCAGAAAGCAATTTGATAATACCTAACCAAGTTGAAGATATGCCTTCGCCACAACCAGCTTCTTCATTCTAGATGTATGCCCTAGAGAAACTCAAGCGCATGTGTGCAAACAGACATGCAGGAATGTTTATAGAAGTGCTGCTTACTCAGAAACAGAAAGCTAAACACCACATGTACTCACCCATATGCAGGGGCCAAATGATCACAAAGATGGAAATAACAGACACTGGAGACACCAATAACAAGGGAGGTGGAGGGGGGTTGGAGTCAGAAATTACCTGTGGGGTACAGCATAAACTATCTGGGGAATGGGCCGCCTAAGACCCAATCTCCACTACTACACAATATGTCCAGGTAGTGAATGTGCATGTGTACCCACTGAATCTAAAATAAAAATGGAAAAAAGTGGGATTATGTCATCCCACAGAAAATCTCTGATCTTTTCCCCCTTTCTCATTCCCACTCTCAGTTCTGCTCTCCTGAATCTTAAGCAAATGGGTTTTCTTTTTTTCTTTTTCTCCCTGAATAAACTAATTTACCTCTTAATATGTGAAAATATTTTTAAAGTTTTAACCATTTTTAAAATAAATGTTTATTAAAAGGTCAAAACAAAAGAGAAGTGATGCTTACATTATTTGTAATTGTGTGCAGGAAGCTATCCACTTAGCATATTCGTTTGGAACCAGCCATCTTGCCCTACCTTATTGGATGTAATGGATGTGCATAGATTCCCTTGAATTTCTCTGGGAGCCATTTCTATCACCTACATATGATCATGAGCTCCATGCAGGTCATTCAAGCAATATCCCGCTGGGAAATAAATGTATACAAAGGCCCAATTCCTAATGGCAATCAAAAATTTAAAAATACCCAGGAGTAAGTACAGGATTTTACTGAGACATAAAGGACAACTTGATTAAATGAAGCCAGACACCATGCATATGGATAGGAAGACTTAATATCACACAGATGCATTTTTTCTTCAAATCAGTTCATACATTTAATGTAGCTCAGTCAGAATTACACATGTTTTATGTTTTGACTTAGGGGGATTTGGTTTTCTAAAAAATTCAGGAAAATTCTTCTTGAGTTTATCTGGGGAAATAAGACAAATGAGGACTTTCCCTATTAAATATTTAAATAAAACTTCAGTAACTAAAACAGTGTGAGTCATGCAAAGGAATAGACAGATAGACAAGTGCAATAGAATAGAAAGTTGGCAAACAATACCAAAGTTATATAATTACATATGAATTATATATGTGATAAAGATGGACTTAAAATTGTCCATGAGTGGAATATTTACAAACAAGGCTTGGTTAAATGGCTAATCTACTGGGGGGATAAGGTAGAATCTTATATGCCTAAATAAATTCCAGGTGGACTTAAGGACAAAAGTTCTAGAAGAGAACATTGGTTTACTTGTTATGCATTTACTGAATGCCTTAGATATGCCAGAGCACATATTTGGGACACGGATGTGTGTATAATTATATTGTGGATTGAGTTAATTTTATAATGGAAATCCCTGCACCTATTTAAATGCTGTTATAGAAAAAATATTTAATGACTTCAAAATGTGCACATTATATGAAGTGAAAGAGCTGAACATCCTATAGTAGCTATAGTTTGATCTTGTTTTTATAAAAAGAATAAATAAATAAGTCTTCATAAAGAAAGAAATGCATAGAACAATGTCTAGAGCAATTTTCACCATGTTGTAAGTGCTGGAAGTTGTTCTTCTTTTCTATTTTGTAAGTTTTTCTGTAATGAATATTTTATTGTAATGACACAATAGCATCTTTGTTCTTAATGAATTAAGATGAATTATGCTTGGAAATTAAGGGAAAAAATCCTGTTCCCCTCATACTTTTATTAATTAACAATAATTTCTTAATATATTCAATAAGTATTTAAATTTCTGATTATCTCATTACTCTCATAATATGTTAAAAATTTACAGTTTATTTGAACAGGATTCAAATAAGTTTCACACATTGGATTAGTTCTTTCATGTGCTTTTTAATCTATAGTTTCTCCTATAGCTCTTTTCTTTTTTTTCCATGTTACTTATTTTTTGAGAAAATCAGGTATTTGTTCAGTAGAATTTTCCACATTCTGGATTTTACTGACTACCTTCACAGAATATCATTTTATATGTCCTTCTGTCCTCAGTGTTTTCTGTAAATTGAACATTGAATTCAGTGACTTGATCTGATAAGGCTTTATTTTTGGCAAGATAACTCCATAGGTGGTAGTGTATCTTCCATTAAGAAACACACGATGAGTGGTTGTCTTTTTTATCATGATGTTAGCAACCATTGATAGTTAATGCCTTGATCCATTAATTCCAATATATGTCTTTGGGTAAAAATGTTTTTATAACAATTTGGATGCAGCAGTGGGCTAACCTTTTTGAACTGGTGTCATCTCAGTGTCTGTTGGAACCTCAGAATTCACTGTCTATCAGTGGTATAAAGCCATTGTGCATAGGGTCTGAAAACAAGCTTGAGGATCTCAGGAGCCTAAACAAATCTCTGTAATATACAGCACTGTTATCTTGAAGGATGGCTTCTTTTAGAAAGCTCTGCTTCATAAATAGTAGAATGGAAATATTGTTCCAATTTGCTGGCAGCTGGCACCACGTTGTGTGCCGTGCACAAATATTCATCACCCACCCATAGATCCCATCTTTGATATTTACCAAAGCACCAGGGGGTCTTTCACTCAATCACAACTTCTGTTGTTATTTGTACAATTATCTGGAAAGGAGCAGCAACCTCGAAACCTGGGGAGCCAGTTCATTATTCTGATGATTGTTGACTGCTGGTGCTCAGAAGTTCAGGGGACAGATGGAAGTCAGGGAAGCCAGATGCCTCACGATTCCACCCGTGGCAAACCCAGCAGGCCCTCGCGGGAGCCCTCATTTTGGAAGGGAAGGGACAGAGGCTGAGCTTGGAGAAGGGAAAGTCACCATGACACACTGGGTGTTTTAACTCCATCCTCCCTGGAACCCAGTCATTGTGTCCAGCAGAGTGGTCAAGACAGGCCACCACCACAGTGGAGTAGGAAGATGGCTATCTCATCTGCTGGAAGGACAGGATCGAGAGTCTTGCAATGTAGAAATGTCAAGAGCTTTTAGCCTGCCAGTCTGCAGAAATAGATAGCTTGGGAGGTAGGCAACCCCAACCTGCTCCCACTCCCAGTCTGCTGAAGAACAGGCTGGTGTCACATGGGGTTTGAGGAAACAAGAGCAGACCTCCACCAGAAAGGTTAGAATAGCAGCCATTTAGACTAGATTCACCCCAGAGATGGGCTCGGCACAGGACTGACTCCAAGGGAAAACGAGATCACTTGCTCAGATGCTAGTTCCCTCTGCCATCTTCCTTGCGTGTGATGACTCACTGTGCCTCTAACAGTTGTTATCAGTGCTAAACTTCAGAAATGTGGGCTGTGGGGTAAGAAGGTGTTGTTTAATATAAGGTCATGCTGATGACATTGGGGTTCTCTCCTGTGTCTAGGTTTATGATGGCAACAACAACTCTGCCCGTTTGCTGGGGGTATTCAGCCGCTCTGAGATGATGGGGGTGACTTTGAACAGCACATCCAGCAGTCTGTGGCTTGACTTCATCACGGATACTGAAAACACCAGCAAGGGCTTTGAACTGCAGTTTTCCAGTAAGTCTTTCTGGTGTCTGTGTGGACAGTGAAGTCAGGCTAGCCCATGTCATTCAATTATTTAAGCTTTTGCTTGCCCACTAGATACAAGCAATGTATTCTTATAGACTGTTTTAAAATCCAGTGAGTAGCTATCAATGGATGCATGGATAAACAAAATGTGATATATTCATACAGTGGAATAGTATTCAGCAGTACAAGGGAATGAAGTGCTGACACATGCTTCAGCATGGATGAACTTTGAAAACTCAGTGAAAGGAGTCAATCGCAAAGGCCACATATTGTGTGAGTCCCTTTGTATGAACAGTCCAGAGCTGGCAAATCCATAGAGACAGAAAGTAAATGAGTAATCCCAGGCCAAGAGGGGTGGGGAAAATGTATATAGAGCTTCTTTTTGAGCTGATAAAAATGTTCTAGGCTGGGCTCGGTGACTCAGCCTGTAATCCCAGCACTTTGGGAAGCCGAGGCTGGTGGATTGCCCGAGCCTGCGGGTCCGAGACCAGCCTGGGAAAACATGGTGAGACATCGTCTCTACAATAAATCAAAAATTATCCAGGCGTGGTAGCGCGCACCTGTAGTTC